TGATAATGTAATTCAGAAATTTCTTTTGGCTTTACTAAAGTCGTTTTCATGTAAAAAAAAAAAATTTTCTTGTCTTTGTTTTGGTTTAGACGATGTAATTCAGAAATTTGTTTTGGCTTTACTAAAGCCGTTTTCATTTAAATATATTTTTTTTCTTTTGTCTCTGTTTTGGGTTAGAAGGTGATAATGTAATTCAGAAAACCAGTTTAGTAAAACCGTTTTCTAGGCATTTTCATTAATTTTTTTTTTCTTTCATCTTTGTTTTGGGTTAGAAGGTGATATACATGCTGTACAGTCCGAAGCACACCCACACACTGTGCAATTTGACGAACAACGACGAACGGTGAGACACGATGAGCACCGTAGAGGAGGCCAAGAAGACGAAGGCCACCGCGAGAGCTGCAACAAGAAGGAAGAAAAGAAAGACCTCAAATTTTGGTGATGTATTTTTTACATACGAATGGTACTTTTTCTATTTTTTGCTATGTAATGTAACTTGTATGTAATTTGAATTCTAATTACGAACATGAACTTATGTAATGTAAATATTGGGTTGGACTTAATGTTATTGTGATTCAATTGGTTTCGCTTATTTCATAAGACTGATGTTGTGCAATAAATGAATGAATGGAAAGGTTATTTGTTTTATTCAATTGGTAGTGTATTTTTTGTAAGAATGAGAACGTTATTTGTTATATTCAATGAATAATGGTTACATTTTTGGGTTGTCACGATTGAGAAGATGAACAAGTTAAGAGAATGTGTATTTCCCCTAAAATAAATTTTGTCAACATTTTTGTAATAAAACTTCATACATAATATACGAAGTCACTAATTTACTAAATACTCGTACGGGCATGAAAATAACATAACTGAAGTTGCAAATGTAACAGTTTTCAGTTACATAGGTAGTACAGACATAAGTCTCCCACAAAAAATACATTCTGGGCACCATGAACTGAACACACAATACATAAAAGTTTCTGTATTGGTGGGTAGTATTGGTTTTATTATTTAAAAATATTAAATGTGGGTTGTATTGGTTGGTTGTATTGGAATTATTAATGTGATAACTAATCATGTAATGAAATTTTTTATAAATGGAACATAATGATTTATATTTGTAAGATAATTAAAAGATAAAAAATAATTTGTTAATGTATGTTATAATGACTTCGATTTCAAGGTGTTGGTTGGTTGTATTGGGATTTATTAATGTTAGTTACAACTATAATCAGTTTCAAGATGTTCAAATTTATGACTTCGATTTCAAGGTGTTCAAATTTATGACTTGTACCATTTACCCCCAAACAAACTAAACTCTATCCAAGTAGATTATTTCATTTTAGGTGTAGCCTAACAAATTTTCATAGGGTACAAGAAAAAGATAAAAGAATTGAAGAATATGAGACCCCTTTTCACTTAATTCAATTAATAGTTTATTCAAATCAATGTGTGTGTGTGTTTTTTTTTTAACACTTCTACTTCCTTTCAAGATACTTTTTAATTTAATTTTAATGTTAAACAATGTCCTAAATGCACCCCTTAACATTTGTCAATGTTAAACAAATGCCATAAAGTTTAATCCAAAGAAGAGGTTGGGTATGCTCAAAGGAAAATTATTCAAAGAGCATTCTGATCATTGTTTAAAGGTGCAGAATGACCAAAAGTTGTTTTAATTTGAAAAATGCAGCCAAACAAAGGCAAGTCACTCCTAGTTTAAATTTGCAAAAGTACATCCCAAACAAAGAACACTACATTTAGGAAGCTACTATATTATACAAGACAAAACCACTACATTTATAAAATAAATTAACCCAACAAAAGGTTGTTAAAATAACAAAATACAAAACAACGTAAATACATAATGTAAAACACATCAACAGTCATTCTCTGGTGGTGGTGGAGGAGGGAAGTAGTGATGGTATATGTCATTTACGTGATGTTCAATCCTATCTATGCGATTGTTTGCCACTTCATTACGTTTTTCAATGTCCAAACAGAACTCACCAAATTGTTGAATTAATGAGTTCTGAACAGTGGCAAATGCATCAAACTAAGTACCCAACGAATTGACCTGATTAGCCATTTGAGGTTCCCATTGAACGCGCTGATTATAACGTTGTTCTTCCATGGCCAAAAACTCAATCCAATATTGAGGTTGTTCAGTTGATGGCATCACATTGGCATGAGGATCTTTTGGAGCATCATCTGGTGGGAATTCATCTTTTAGATCTTCTGGAGCATTAAGACTTCCCATTAAATTGTCGCTCCACCAGCACGGGTCAGTGTATAGTGATTAATTGGTGAACAGATTTTGGTCTCCATTTCATCTACAAAGTGAACCCTAAAATGTTTGAAAATTTTTGTTAAGAGTGCCCCAAAAAGTAATGACCGGCCCATGAATTGAGCAAGATTTGCATACATCATTTCTTTCATTATTATGTAACACAAATACATTTTATGGCCAACTTCAAAATAGTATAACAAATAGGCATTAAAATATGGGACAACATCAAAATGTCCTCTTTTCGGAGTGACATTTTCTACAATCCACCGATGGAGAATCCGAAGATAGGATTTCAAATGTCTTGCTTGTAGATTAGTCCTGCTAAATTTGTTCTCACAAATAGTAGTATATTCGTCACTGCTATTACCAACAATATTAACTAACTCAACCTCACTCTGAAAATGGATATGCATATCACCTACCTCAACTCCAATAATTCTTGCCAAAGTAGGAATATCAAACTGAATACCCTTTCCTTTCACATAAGACAAAAGAGTAAAATTTCCATCTTCTTCCTGAGTACCTCTTAGGTGAACATAAAATAGAGACACCAGCCGTAGATATACCTTTTGGGGTAAATTAATTAAATTTAGCCATCCCATTGCTTCAAGTTTACTAACTAATAGTGCATCATATTGAGGTGGCAAATTTACCCTCCTCCCTGTTATAATAGGTCGGCTAGAGAAGTTTGGAAAGACTTGTTCATGACTTTCATTGAGAAGTCAGCAGTAGGATAAGACTGATTTTGAGGCTGATGTTGTTGGCGTCGTGGAGGGTTGGAGCTTTCCCCAAGTTCTAGTCTAGCTCTTTTAGTTCTAGGCATGATGTCAATATCTGTTGAATTTTAATGGAACTGTGTTACATATGAAAGCTGAATTAGAGGTGACAAAACTTTACATAATAATGGAAATGCGCTTTCACCATGAAAAATTAGTTTTCACCATGAGCTTTTACCAAATAATTGAACTTGAACATGGTGTTATGCTCAAATAAAACATGAAGTTAATATGTAGTATTTGTTGTTCAGAAGTGCAGAAGTGCACACTGAAATGGAAAAACAACACGAAGTTAATATGCAGTGTTTGTTGTTCAGAAGTGCAGAAGTGCACACTGAAATCGAAAACAACATGAAGTTAACATGCAGTGTTTGCTGTTATGCTCACTGAAATGTGGTGTGCAGAAGTGCAAGGAAGTGCACACTGAAATGGAAAAACAACAAAGTAATTTCAGTTGTCTATTTCATATGACAGAAGTTAATTTCCAAGATTAAACATTAATGTAGTTTGATTAAAACATGGTGTTATGCTCTTCAGAAGGTTAAACTTGAACAAATAAAACATGCTGTTGTGCTCACTGCTCTTCAGAAGGTTAAAGTTGAACAAATAAAGCATGTTGTTGTGCTCATTGAAAGAAGGGCTGAAGAAGTGCAAGGATGTGCACACTGAAAGGCAAAATAAATAAAAAAAATGTGCAGGGCCGGTTGACCAACTGGTTGACCCGTGTGTTCAAGACTCACTCTGTTTTGCTGCTGCCTTGTTGTTCATGCTGATGTTGGCCTTGTTGCTTCAGATGCTTTGCCTTGTTGATTCTGTGGCCTTGTTGCTTTGCCTTGTTGTTTGTATAGAGTGAATATGCAGTGTTTGGGAACATAAATTGGTGATGCCGAATTTGAAGGTGGTGGTGGAGGGAATATAGTGAATGTGTTCGTATAGAGGCAATCTGTGGATAGAGTGAATCTATGAATAGAGTGGATTTGGTGATGCGAAGTTTGTATAGAGTGAATCTGTTTCATCTACAATCTTGAGCTGATATAGAGGGTGAATTATTGAGGTAGGTGGTGGAGGGAATTAATATTCAACTAAACTGGTTGAATGAATTCAATGGATGGTGGTGTGTGTAAAATGAGGCATTGACTCATTTGATGAGCCATTGAATTCGTATGCCACATCTGTAGTTTGAATGCATTTATCTACTAAATAAATGAATGGCTATGATATATCTAAGCAGACCAACATAAATGTTATCCACATAAATAAATGGATTCAAACTTTACATAAGCCAACCAACATCAATAAATGAATGGCAACATCATTAGTAATAAGCCAACCAACATCAATAAATATATTGACAAATAAATTCGACATCAATACATATATGTACTGAATAAATTTGTATGCCACATCAATAAATTCATAAACTGAATAAAATCATATGGCACATCAATAAATATGAATTGTGAATAAATGAATTTCCAAAATTCATGAATCTTTCAATATTTAAATATAAGACTAACATTTAAATATAAGACTTCCAACAACATCAGTAAGCATTTTCTCATTATTTTGTAACTGATTAAGACATGGTTATTATCATTTGTAATTCTTTGGTACTTAAATTTAAGTGGATATATCTAAGCAGACAACATTTTTAAATTATGAATTGAACACTGAACAATTCTCAATATTATAGATTGGATCATCACAACAGCACATCATAACTTATCAATATCAACTACTTGGTTAATATTGATAAAATTATGAAGAGTACAAACAAGACAACCTCTCATTCCAAAACCATAAACAAAATTACATGTATTGATGTGGTGAATTTAGTTTTCACCATGAAGATGCCACATATGTTCTATTAAATCATTACGGAGCGCATGATATGCATCTTTATCTCTAACACCTAAATGACGAGACAAAAATGATTAGAAGTCATTGGTAGGAGTAGAGGAAAGTTGCACTGGTGCGTTGGTTGATGAAAGTTCATAATTGAAATCAAGGTGCTCCTCCCTCTCATCTTCGACAATCATATTATGTAATATAATGCAACTCTTCATTATGTTCGCAAGCATTTTCGAATCCCAAAAACGTACAGCACCACCTATAATTACAAATCGAGATTGAAGCACTCCGAATGCCCGCTCTACATCTTTCATTGCAGACTCTTGCATCATTGTAAAATGTTGTTTCTTTGCTCCTTGGGGAGAAGAAATTGTTTGAACCAGTGTTGCCCATTGAGGGTATATACTATCAGCAAGGTAATAACCCATATTATAACTATGTCCATTAATAGTGTAATGGACAGGGGGAGCTTTACCTTGAGCAAGATCAGAAAACAAAGGCGATCGGTCCAACACATTCAAGTCATTGTGTGAGCCAGGCATTCCAAAAAATGCATGCCAAATCCATAAGTCATAAGATGCTACTGCTTCAAGAATAATGGTTGACTTTTTTTGATGGCCTACGTATTGACCTTGTCATGCCTTTGGACAATTTTTCCACTCCCAATGCATGCAATCTAAACTTCCCAACATACTCGGAAACCCTTGAACCTTCCCAATAGCAAGTAATCTTGTAATATCAGTTGGTGTTAGAGATCTCAGATATTCTGGTCCAATGATTTCAATCACTAAATTACAAAATTGTTGCAAACTTTGAATTGCAGTGCTTTCTTCGATACGTATATAATCATCAACTGCATTTGCTACCACTCCATATGACAATATTCTCATAGCTGAAGTTATTTTTTGTAGAGGAGATAATCCAACAATATGAGCTGCATTTTGTTTTTGAACAAAATATGAATTATGTGCTTGGATTGCATTCAAAATTCGCAGATACAAAGGACGACATTGTAGGTGAATACACTGGATTTGCCACAAAATAATCTGCAAACAATCTCTCATGACCCTGCCTTCTATTGCGGCGTATGTACTTATGGCCTACATCAGAACCGCCTATTTTCTTTGAGCTATCACTTGACTGCAGAATCTGAAGCATACTAGCATTATTCATCTCATAAGCCCCCAAAAGTGTGACCATATATTCATCATTAGACTCATCATCAGAGGAGCAAGAAGAAGAGGAAGATGAAAATGAAGTGAACATTATGGATTTTAAGGTATTCATTATGCTTTGTTTTCTTTCAGCTATGATCGTATCACTTGTCTGGACTTGTCCGGCATATGGATAATGTGTTTATATCAAATTTTAGAAGCAAATCATTGTTGGAGGTAACAAAAAACAAAAAATATGTAATGGAGGGAAAAAGAAATAGTAAAAGAATTGGGAACAGAAAGAGAGGGAAACCAAAAAACAAAATTCATGGCCTTACCAGCCGACCGGTCGGTCGACCCACCGGATGACCCTCCCCGTTTGATGCACGCCGTTGGAGCAAGCCATATCAAATTGAGAATATCACCTATTTTTTACTCAGATTTGGTGAAAAAAGTAATGAACTGTTGGAGATGCTCTTAATGATTATAATTGTTAGATATTTGTTTAAATAAAATTGGCTTGGTCCAGGCCTATTGGCCTAGTAATTGTGCAGCGTGATTTTGTAGTGTGAGGTTTTGGGATTTGGTGTAGGTGTTGTGGCCCGTTGAGGCGTGCCTCGAATTTATTTTTATTATCTGAATTGTTTTTATTATAAGGTTTGTTGAATAAATTATACATAGAAAAAATAAATCAATTGGACATCTATAACCTTATAATAAGATCACATTTTTTTTAAACAAAAATAAAACGATTGGCATAATTTTGAGAATTTTTAAAAATAATTAGGACTGATCATGGGGTTACATATATTCAATTAATCTTTTTTTTTTTTATGAATAATACACTCAACAAATTCTACAATATGAATAGTTCAGATTATCAAAAAAGGCTCTAAATACACCCCCACGAGGCCTCCCAGCATAGGTGCTGAGCCACAAGGCACAACACCAATGCCAACTCCGAGGTTTTGGACTCAATTATTATGGAAAAGAGTTTGAAATCTTTTTTTGTAGTGTTTATTTCTATCTATTATAGGAATTGTGTTGTGTTAACTCCATAGTTTGATTTCGATGCTGTCTAAAATATTATTAAATAAATTGTAACTTTTTAATGTATATATTTTTATAATCATTTGACACAAAATATGAAAATAAATTTTAACATTATTGTATCGATTTAAAATATGATTGTGTTTAACAGGCATCTTTTTAAAATACTTCTTATATTATGGAATTATTTGGCAAGATGAATATAAGTGCACTTATTTAGATAAGTGTATTTATTTGGGTCATATTATCTATTTATTTATTTTTTATATATTTGTTGGCTACATATTTTGTATAAGCCAATCGCAACTTGACATGTGGCTCGTAAAGGGTAATTTGAAGAGTTAATGCAAGTCTCCAGTCAACGATAGACACGTGACATCTTATATTGGTAACAATAGATCTATGCAGCATTGGAGCAGTTAGAGGGTGCAAGGTGACCTAATGGTTACTCACGATTCAAATTCAAATTCAAATTCATGAGGGAAGTCCAACTGCAAGAATGGCGTAGTGAAAGCAAACTGTTCAAGGCCATGACCAGTGATCGTGGAAGGGTATTTTGACGGTTAGAAGACCATTTCAACGGTTACCATTAAAGGGTATAAATAGAAGAGAAGGCTAACAGAAGAAGGACCTAGACTCAGATACAAAAACCAGTTATTTACTTTATATTTTTCTTTCTAGTTTTTCACATTTCCAGTTCTTCAAATCCTGTACTGTACTTCAATTCTAAGGAGTAGTTCCAAGTAGTTTACTGTTGTAGAACCCTTCGAGGCTGTGAAAGTGCGAGGGTATCATTGTAAGTTGTTATTAATTAATGAAATTCAGTTCATGAAATTATTTTTATTTATTGTCATTGTCAATATCTTTAATTTTCTCCTAAGCAAAGCCACCAGTAAAAGTTCTCGTCATTGAGACTGAAAGAATTTCAACACAATCGTCTGATAATTGGTTGGCAATTAAAATTTCTGTAAGGACTTTTTGATTCTTGCTAGCACGCTTAAAATTACATTATTAACCTTTAAAAGCCAAAAAAGCCAACATATATTTTTTGGCACGCCCAGTGAGACCTTTAAAATGGCTAGACGTCAAGTAAGAGGAAAAAATGATCACCTCAAAGAAGGTGTAGAAGGATAGAGGAAAATGTTGATTCACATCCTGAAAATGTGCCTGCTTTAAACAATCCAAGTCCTGAATATTGGGCATGGGCAAGGCCAAGGAGCTGGCCCTTCGACTGTCTCATCCACATAACCAGTTAATCAATGGGAATGGTTGGTGGATATTATGGGACAACAGTTAATGTACACAATTAAGAGGTGGCCACTATTCTTTTTGGATCGAATGCATACATATCAACCACTCATCATTAGATAAGTTGAAGAAAACATAAATCTGCTTTAGCAGCAATTGGCTCAAAATAGACAGCCTATACAAAATAATGGGTAAAACAATGGTCAAACCAACAATCAAACACTTGAAAGACCAGTACCAGTACATCAGTTATGCTATGAGCCCTTTCCTAGAATGCCAACAGGCCAAAACATGTCTATACCTACCAGTAAAGCCATAAATATTGGTGGAGTAGGATCAACACAAGGAAATGGCAGAACATATACTAATCCCATGTTCGAAGTTACACCTGGGGAGTTGGATGAGATTTTTGCAATTGGAAGAGAAACAATGTCTGTTCCCCCTCCAGCGGTTTCTTTTGCAGTACCTTTTGTAGGCCAAACACCTGTCCAAAGGGGTCAGTGTAGATATCCCATTTTTGACCGACCTTAAAGACTTGGGTTCCTTAGATTGATCACCCAGTGATTAAAATTATGCTATACAAACGTTCGATTTTCTTAGCGGGAAGCCTTGGTTTTGAGCCTCAGAAGCCTACAAACCTTGCACCATTTTTGGACCAAAACAGATTTTTTTTAAGCCTGACCACCCAGAGGCCTGCAGGCCAAAAGGTGGCCAGTTGGCTAGAATTTAGTAGCCGACCGTCCCCTACTTGGCCGGTCGGCCAGGTGTTTTGGTAGAATAGATATTTGTTGCCAACTGCCCCCCATGTGCATGCACTGCATCAACTGGCTCAATACAGATATTTTTGAGATATCAACCAATTGTTCTATATATAGAGAGCTATACCTTATGTTTTTAGGTTAGAAAAAATTCCAAGAGCTCAAATTCTTGAAAATATCTCTCTCTTTCTATCTTGCAACCTATATACACCCTACCTATACTCCCTAAAACAAATTTTTAGGGCTCATTGCTGAGGTTCTTGAGCTTAAATTTCATCACTTGAGGGTGAGAATTTGTTGGTTTGTGAATCAAAGTGTTACTCCTCTTCAAGAGGTATAACTTTTAGCTTCTTTACACTACTTCTTTCCTATCTTTACTTGCTATTTTTACATTGTTTTCCACTGTTTTTATGGGCTAAAACTTGCGGCTTAAAGCTATCAAAGGTAGAGAGGTAAACCACCCTTTTTGAACCTTATTTTCCAAGCATTTGCCCTTGTGTCTCCCATCTATTTTCCAACTTTTTCCCACTATTTTTCAGAGTTTTCCAGAGGCTAAAAAAGTAGTTTTGAGGTTCAAAAAGTGGATGGGTTAGCCACCCCTCCTTAGGCTTGCTTATTAGCTTCATTTCTTCATTATTGTAGCTCACTTTTTCTAGCTTTTCCATGATAATTCCAGCACTATTTTAGTTGTTTTTAAGACTGTTTTGGTGTATTTATTTAATTTATGCTTTGTATAGTATGCTTGTAGCGTAGTGGTTCTCATAGGTTTGGTGGTTTAGGCCTTAGTCACCAACCTATTTGAGTTGATAGCATTTATTTTATGTTTTTCATACATGTGATCACCTTTGCATAATCATCTCTGCACCTTCCCTCCTTTCTTGGTTTTTTTGTTTGAGAGTTGTTTCAAACGAGAGTTATTTCAAACGAGTGTTGTTTAAGCTTGAGAAAGAGACCCTTCCATGATTAATGGTTTAATCTCTTCGGAAGTTCATTACTAAGGCATTATATCTCTCTCATGTCAAAAACAACTTCTTGTTTGACACTTCTCTCCGTTAGTGGACTTAATTCTCATTCTTGGACTAAAATGACTAAAGAATAGAAAGGTAATTAAAAGAGGCAATAAAATTGGATTAAAAGAGGTAACAAGATAATAAAAATGAGTTGGGTTCAATCGGACGTTAGTTGAACCTATTGAGTCTTGAACCGTTTCATACTCTTTAGTGATGATAATGGATCAAGATTCAAGGTCTACCACTTCCCTTGATCAATTCCATGATAGGGAAGAGGTTTTGTTGGTCTTTCATTATCATTTATTGAGATTTTGTCCCTTGATTCATAGATAATCACGCAATGAGTTTGCGTCAATTGATGGTTTGTGACTCAAGTCTAGCCCTCCTTTGATCTATTTGATGATAAGGAGAGGCAAGGTGGGCATATATCTCCTAAAAATACTCTGTTTGTGCTCTGTTTCATGTTTGTTATAGTAGGGCAATGGCAAAAACTAGTGGCCGGCCGGCCACCTCACTGTACGGCTGACCACTTTTCAAGGCCGGCCGGCCACTTCATTTTAGATCAGCAGTGCCATTTTCATGGCAGAACAGAGCAGTGGCTGAGGTGGAAACAGTTCAATTTTCTGACTACAAAATAGAACCATTCTGGCAGCGAAACAGAGGGCATTTTCGGGTGAAAATTTGCATTCATGCATGAACGATTCTTCGCTTCCTGTAGCTCGTTGATTAAACAGTAGTATGTTGTACTTAGTATGTTGTACCTAGATTCATTAATTCCTTTTAACTTGTAATAGCTTAGTTAATTAATTTCGTGTTGTAATTAATTAGTTAGTTTAATCCTAATTTGTAATAATTAGTTAGTATGGTTAATTCATTCATTGTAATAATTAGCTAATTAGGACATTCATTCGGACTTTCTCGTGTGAGGGCAAGATTGTAATAATTTGTGTATGTCTTCCAATTCCCATTCTTTCTCCCTTTTATTAATTCGTTTATAATGGATAGCATATAACATCATGTTTCATTTAGCATTTTCCATGACTTGT